CCCAAGGGAGCCTTCCTCCATGGATATTACATCACCAAGCTACTCCACCCAAATTGAGTATTACAACGCTCAGCTGCTCCATCCAGGAATCGAACTCCCCACCCTGAGGTTGCAAGCCCAGCAGTGCCCATCCTTTGCCAACTTGGATGTGCCCCGGGGGGCTATAGGCTAAATTTTTTTATGAGAGGGGGAGAGGGAGAAAGAGAGAGATCTCCCTTTAGACACGATTTGTCCCTAAATATCTATTTTGCCTCATTATCTAACGACTCATTTTTTTATCAAATTTATTTTTCAATCACACATTTTTTTAAATTTCATTAATGGAAAACTCATTTTCAAAAAAAAAAAAAAAATGTGGCTCCATTCCAATTTCCCATGATCCACACGTGCATTCTCATCTCTCTTGTCGTCATCTTTGTTTGTTATATTATTAAATTACAAAACGCCAGTGATTCTCCGTAGCTTTAACATTAATTTTACGTAAATCGTGGAAACTCTTTTGTAACGTTCCTCCTTTACATAATTAATGTGGTCCACTTAGTCAACATATCCCCCACCCAAAAAAGAGAAAAGAGAAAAGGAAAAAAAAAAAACAAAAAACAAAAATAAAAAAGGAGGGAAAGCAGAAGAAGCTGTTTTGTGTTCGTTGGACCTCATTCCAAGCGCTTAAGTTAGTGCTTGTTTGATAAAATTTATCAATTTATTAAACTTCAATTTTAATTATATTTTATGAAACCTACAACTTGTACTAAGTTTTCAATAAGATATATCATGAATTATACATTTCATCAATTTTTATTAAAATAGACTGAAAATATGATTTTTATATAAGCAAGTATGGACTTAGGGTCCGTTTGACATGACTTTTGAAAAGTCAAAATAAGTTTTTGAGATCCACAAACTTTTTTATACCTGTTTGACTAATTTTATAAAAATGTTTCTTCTGGTGAGATGAATTTTTAGAAAAAGCTGTTCCAATTTGGCTCTCTAAAATACTTTCAGAATAAGAACTCTTTTAACAAATATTTTTTATAAAAAAATAAATGTAGTTTCCTCATAAAACTCTTCTAAATAAAACAAAAAATAAAAATAATTCCAAACGAACCCTTAATTTATTAGATTATCTCCGATGGTTTACACCAAATTTTGTGTAATTTTATACGAAATTCGGTGTAATTTGGTTTTTCCTCTCCAATAGTAACATTAAATTTGGTGTAGACCTTTGTAAACCAATTTACACTAAATTTTACACCAATTTTTTTTTGAATTATTTAATTATATTATTACAAAAATCGTTAAATTAGAAATTATA